CCCTAATGTTTCACTACATTATCAAGAAGAAATCTCTTATTAGAGAAAATTTCTCACAATTTGTTCAAAAAAAAAAAGGTTACGTTCAATAGAAAAATCGACAATCTCAAAAGAGAAATTAGAAGATTAAATGGGTAATTAGAAAAAAGGATAAGGAAATCAAAATGCTACAGTTTGACAATAACGAAAAGGATAATCAAATCGAAGAACTCGAAATTAAAATAAAATATTTACGCTTCGAAAACTCCAACCTAACCAAACAAGTATATAAGTCAGATAATCAAGAATATAGGATTAATTTAATTTTCTTTATTATAAGTACTTATTTTGAATCTGAATTAGTCCCTTGGAAAAGATTAATATCAGCGAGCGAACTTCTGCGTGAAGTTTGTTCATATTTATTTCCAAAAGATTTATTTTCCCTTATGAAAGTTAAAAGAAGTTTATATGATAAATTATGGTCAGATAGTAGTATTTCACAATTAATCTGGAAATTTTCCTAACAATGACAACCAAATCAAGATCATAAATGCCCCAGTAATATGACAGAACAACAATATTGTTTTTTAAACTTCATAAATATATGTCAAATATGTAATCAACCAAACGATTTCGCATTAATTATTGAGCTAAAGATCAAAATTTGTAAACCTTGTCGTATAAGAACGTCAATATTAATAAGGTAACGGATAATTCTAAAACAATTTCAAATCATTATTTAATTAATTTTGATTTGTATAGCCGTTTAACACTTGAAGAAAATAATTTTCCGACCAAACTCCTTTTGGCGATGCATTCAGTAGATTACAGACAGCTTCAAAGAATTTAACTAGATCATTCTGTGCGTGAATTAACAGTTATGTCTTATTTGGTCTTTTATTTGAAAAAAGAAGTAGAAAATACCAAAAATGAATATCTCAGAGCACCTGAAAATGAGAAACAAGAATGGTTGAAAAAGAGAACAATGATTGTTTGAGAATATTACAACAATGTTCTAAAAATAAAACATTCAACTATTGAGGATCGATATTTACTTCCTCAGCAACAAACTTCATTGCAATTGACACATCAATCTTCATTTGCTATTCCCAATGATTTTAATTTTGAATAAATAGATTTTATTTTTGTATATATATACTTTATAATAAAAGAATAGTAATCAAGCATAGTTTCTATTAAGTACTGTAATACAAAACAAATAACTAAAAAGCTCTTATCAATATATTAAGATACGATTGAAGCTGACTCTTCAAAGATTATTAAAATTATTGATGAATATCCTTTGATGCTGCATTTCATGTTCCTCTAGAATATAGACTTTGTGATAATCTAAATACTATCTTTTCAAATATCAGTAAATAATAAATATGATTTATTCTATTGTAAATAAATTGTTAATAAAATTTAATAAATACGTAAACAGAATATATCTGATAATGAATATTTCTTAAAATATAAAGATTTTTTTTCAAATTCGATTTAGGTTTAGCATTAGAGATGGAACTAGCGCTAGCAATACGAAAAATAGGCAAATGTATTAATAATTTATGAAGAAAAAATTTTTTTCAATTTTAATATTTTCAAAATACACGAAAAATTATACGTAAGTCATTAATCTCAGTTAAATTTTTAGTTTTATTAATGTTCTTATTCTTGGTTTACAAATTTTTTAAAAAACATTTGTCAAAAAAATTCAGAAATAAATTATTTTAAAATTTTATCTAGTTTATCAAATATTCTATTCAAAATTATTAGAAAAGAAATATAATAAAATAATCTTGAGTAGTCTGATTATCTATTTTGAATTATACAATATCGATATCAAATAAATTTTTTATATAACCATATTTTTAAATTAATATTGTAATTCTGAAAATATCCAAGCCAAATTTTATATAATTTAAACTAAAAATAAAATTTTACTTCTCAAATTCAGAGATCAATTTTGTTTCTTAATTTCTTAATTTGATTTCATTTAGAAATGATGGCAAGTTTTCCATCTTCGTACCCAATTATTTGAAAGATCGACTGTCATAATAAGTTTAATAGGTCTAAAAAACAACCAATCAGAAAGGCGTCCACACCATGAAAAATTTAATTAGATGGGTGATCCGGTCCAAATTAAGTGATAAGGATCCATTACCATTGGTACAAGGAATATCTTATCTGTTATTGTTTTATAGCGTAGTATTAATTGTTGTGGGAATTTCTCTTTTCTTTTACAAAATTCTTTCTTTTTTCGAAACAAGGAGTTTTAGAACCACATCTGTTATAGTTTCACGGCTTAGAGACTTTTTTTCTCTAATAGAGCTCCTTTTGATAAATGTGAAATATTAACAAGTACAATTCTTGCTCTGAAAAATTTTTAATAAGGCTGTTGTGAAGTATTGACAGATACGATTCACGAGCTATTCTTGGAATTTTTTTTCTTGATAAGTAAAACTTTAAGAAATATTTGTTTGATTAAAGGACTTGGCGTACCGCATCTGTTATAGTTTCACAGCTAACCAGTTACAGTTTCACGGCTAACTATTTAGAGAAATTTTCTAAAATAGAAGATGCCTCTTTGATAAAGCAGTGAAATATTAACAAGTTGATTCAAGAGAAATTTTCTTCAATTGCTTTGATAATAAAACATTGACAAGTACGATTCACAAGCTTTTCTTGAATTTTTTTTTTTTTTGAACAAATTGTGAGAAATTTTCTCTAATAAGAGATTTCTTCTTGATAATGTAGTGAAACATTAGGG